GAGACAGAAAGGGATACAAAGACTCAGAGAGACAGGTAGACAGACAGAAAAAGGGAGGGGAGAGGGAAACATTTTCCTTCCACTAAATCACTGAATCCAAGAATTTAAGACCACCGCCCCTTCTCTCCCCCACCATATACCACCAAATTACATCATACTTCAATCTGATCCAGGATCAAAGGGGAATCGCACGGGTGCCATGGAAACACACTTCAAAGACTTCCTCTTCCAGCATCCATTGTAAACCTCTGCAACTGACTGGTGTTCGTGCAGAGGAGACGCCGGGGTTTTGTTGACTTCTTAAGAATAAGAATATGTCTGACAACTGCCTGAGCTCAAATTTGATATTTACTGATGGAACGATATAACACTGCTGCAAACAGCAAAATGAGAGATGTCAAAGTGTACATTTTTACAATTACATTGATGTTAGAGACAAATGTGTTTTCTGCAGCACAAAATAAGTCTTAATTAGAATGGGCGTCACAGTTAGAATTCACAGAAATGCTGGTTGTGATGTCACAAAACGGCACAGACATTTCTCATAAATATTAATTAGGTTATGCACACACAATTTTACATGATCTTGTACATGTTTAATATGATCTACTAATCATTTCTGGGATCTTGCAGGTCAGCAATTGAACAATAAGTGTGTCTTCATGGCCATTATTACAATATTACATTATTATAATAACATTATTACTCTGAATGCAAGAGGTTCCAGGTTCTACACAAAACAAAATGCAAACAGCATATATTAAACCTTTTTTTGGATACTGCATTAAAGGAATGTTATGGTTTAAATAGTTAAGCTCTATCACCAGCATGTATGCAGTTAATAGTTCATAAAAACAATTCAATACAATTAACTATTAACTGAAATGAAATATTTAAAAACATTTTTTTAAGGTAGTAGTCAAGGCAACATTTTTCATTTTCATTTAAAGTTCAAGCACTAAAATAAAATGTAATAAAAACTATACAGACAAAAATGTATAATAGTAGTATATCAATGATACTAAAATAACACTGTTTTTTTGCTGAATAATGTTGTTGAATAATTTCCTATTTGCAATGGGACATAATTTAAACATTTTAATTGTTTTTATTAATAATGACATTTTAAATATGATGTTATTATGTTGTTATTATCATTTAATGTACTACATACATACTGGCCACTCCACTCTTGGAAAAAAATAACATATCTGTTGACCAATGTCAAACTATGTGATCGACAGTTTGTGGCTGTTGTGGTGAATGCAATGCACTGTATATGCATAGTATAAATCACTAGACTCTGCACTGTGCTGCGCAACTCTGTCAAGATGACACCAATCAATCATTAGTCGATTGACAAACGAGCGGTGTAGTGATAGGCTGAAACATTAGCGGAGCTCTTGGTATGTCAGTTTGCGGTCTTATGGATGGATTAGAGGTATCATGTATATTGCGCTCTGTATTGATAGCAGCTAACAATGGCTGTTGTGTCAAATATCCCATGAAGGGCATATGAAATATTACATCTGCCATTTGCTCAGCCTGAGAGATGGACGATATTCGACACGTTGTCCCGGGCTGCAGAAATGATTGGTTTAGAGTTGCAGTCGCTCACTGAATCAGTCACAGGCTGCAGGTGTTCACTGTATATCTAAAATAGGCAAGAGAACAATGCGTCGTGTTCCAGAACTGTCAATGAGAACTGGGAATCACGAGGGCCGGTAACAAAGGTCAGAGCAAATCATAAAACACAATCGTTTCGTGCACGAAGGGGCCAACGTCGACAAAAGAAAAAAGGAGACTTTTCATAACCAAAGGCCAAACTGCTTCAGGATCCACGGTGTTATTTCTGCTGTGGGCCACAGACACACAGGAATGTGTGTGTGAAGTTCACATATTGCTTTTCATCCAGCTTAAACGGAGTGACCCCCCCCCACACACACACCTGTCAATCATCGCAATGGCAGTGAACAAAACCCTCCACCGGCCCCTGCTTGTCACCCTGTCACTCAAATCCCACCGCAAAAATAAATAGGGGGCAGGAAGCAGCACCGTATGGTAGATGGCTAGAGGGGGTGGGGGAGTGGGAACAACTGCCTTTTAAAAATACTTTTCTCCTCCATTTCTCAATGAGGGATTTCTTTATAATCTCCCTGAGGTGAGAATCATATTTTAATTAGGTCTACCTCTGGTTAACAGTTCCCCTCCCTGCCTGATCAGTGTACGTGCCCACCCGGCGGTGCTAGCAGGGCTGTCAGACTCACTCACTTTCAGATCAAACTGGATCAAATCAAAGATGCCAACAATCCTCAGTCTTCTCACTCTCATGACACCCCCCCAAAAAACAAAAAAGCCAGCTTGTGCCACATGCTAGTCTTTAAAGGAGAAGTTCACCAAAACATGAACATTTTGCAATTTTTATACACCCTTGTGTTGTTGTTTTTTTCCTTAGAGAATACCAAAATAATATTTGTAGACATCAACAGGACAAAAAAAAAAGAACACTACAAAAGTTAAAACCACCAAAATTTAAGGCATTATTCTGTGATCAGGGGTGCAAAATTGTCACTTTTTGATAAAAAAAACCATAGGTAATTTGTGTGGATCTGATGAGTGCTTAAAGTGTAGCACTGTGTTTATTTACACGCATCAGATTACGTCATTACAAGCGAGCAGTCTGTGTTTTCAGTGTCTCAGAGCAGCTTGGTTAGCAGTAAATGCTTCTCCACAGGACTCCATCTTTGCAAGTGCTGTGAGTTTATAATCTGCATTTTAAAACATAATAAGTGCCAACCATCTTCCCAAGTTTGTAATGAGAATTGTTTATAAAAACTGCTGTCAACAAAAAAGAAGCTTTGTGGTCTCCCTGTGGTTTTCTGCCAAAAAATAGAAAATTTGAAAGCAAAGAAATTGAGACAGCGATGAAAATTAGTACTGTAATTTTACAGTTAAATAAAAAATATTGTTTAAATAAAATTGGTATAATTTATTATTTTAATAATAATACTAAGAAGAACAAGAATATTAAATACCAATTTTTGGTAAAATTGTATTATTGTGTTAATATATTACTTTATTGTCTTATTTAAATTTTATAATATAATTGAATTAAATATTTTAGTAATAATAAGAAATAAATAACTATTATTATTATTATTATTATTAAATACTATTTTTGCTATTTTTCAGTATGAAAGTATTATTGTGATTGTTAATATACTGCTTTATTAGCTTTTTAAAATAACTTTTACAATTTATAATTTTTATAATTTAATAAAAATATTTGAGTACAAAACAATACTAAATACAAGTACAATAAAATATTATGAATAATATATTTTTGTTGTTATTATTGTATAGCAAAGACTATAGAATACCCAAGACGTGTCACTCGTATAGTTTATAGTATACTGTATACTCGTATAGCAACGCTCAATATGGCCGCTCAATCGCAGGAAGCCCTGCCTTCTGAATGAAGGAGCCAATCGGTGAAGTCAGCGCGTCACTGCAGCTGCCGTTAGAAGTCGCGGTTGCTATAGAAACAGTCAGCGTTTTGAGACATGCACTCAAGATTGTGCATGCGCACTGGCTGATCTAGCCTGAATAATAAGCTTTTTATAATGCTATTTGAGCAAAATAAACAACATTTATGACACAGTTCATATCAGATTTCTTTGGTGATTTCAAATATGAAATGTAATAGAAAGCTTAGTAAACAGTTTTGTAGAATTTGATGTTTCCCCATTCAAAGAGATAGAAGTTGCACTTGCATGCCCGAGAGGCGTTTCAAAGATGGCCGCCGAGTGACATGACTTGTCTTAAAGGGACTTTGTTTATAGTTATAATATGGATTCTATGAAATACAACAGTGTGAATATTGCTGATCAGACTTAAATTTCTGTTCATCATACAGAAGGTTGACAGTGTTGAGATTTTAATTTATGCTGTATTCCATGACAAAGATAAGAGAGTTAAAATAATGTTATTACTCCCTCTATTCATGGCTTCCTGAAGATACTGGCCAAAGACCATCATGCAAAATCATGCATAACACATCAGACTAAGGTGAGACACACAAGGCAATGTACAAACAGAAGGTTATGTGTTCATTTGCTGTAGTATTTTGTCTGTTGAACAGAGCCAGTCACATGCAGTGCTGACATTTCACTTCCTTAACGGTTCCCCTGGAATCCGATGCATGTCTGTGGGGCTGGCAGACACACCCCACACGCTGCGCAGGTTCCCAGTGTGAAATCAACAGGACGTTGTGTTTCATGGAGCATGTTAAAACACTGACGTGAGAAGACTAAGGTATATTTCACAGCTAAAATGTTAACACGAGTTCACTGAGACATCTATAGGAATATCAGCATGGCAATTAATCACAATAGAGCAAAAATCTGAAGAAGATATTTGCGAAAAAGTGATATTATGGAACGGTTGCTGTAGTAATAGAGCTTAAATTGAACCGAGACAAATTTGGAAGGGCAACGTTTAAAGTGGCAGCTGCTAGGAGGATGTTTCTGGTTATGAGAGCAACAATATAAATGAATTACAGGAAGAATGTCTAGTATGTCTCCGGCGGAATTTATTAATGGCTAAACAAAATTGACGTTAGTCCTTACATTTCCTTTTTTGGATTCGTTTTCCGTCTCATTGTTTTATGACCCCAGCAGCTGCTGTGAGAGCAGTTTGGCTTGAGCAAAGAAGCTGTTTACGATCAGCACACTGTTGTCTGGGCAGACATCAAAGTGCAGATTTATTCAGAGACCAAAAGCTCCATTAGTCAGAGTTTTTAATTAGCACACTTGTGTGAGAGGGTCATTAAGAATGATTTGCTGTTGTGATTGAGGGCTTGCTGATGGGCAAGACACAGACCCTGCTGAGTCTACTTCTGACCCCAAACTCATAGATCTAGCTTCGAAATTTGGCCAACTTTTCACAGGATCCAGTGTTACCCTGCCAAATGAGATGTAACAGAAGTCTAAATTGCCTACCGGTTTCTGGGTGTTCCATCTCTCCGATGCTGCCATCAGGGGTGGTCCGTTCGTAGTGGTCCTCGGGCAGGGCGAGGGGGCCGATACGTGGTCCTGAAGAGCTCTTGCTGCTGGGGGTCTCAGATTCCTCCAGACCACTGTCGTAGTAACTCTGCTGAGAGGAGTCCTGCTGATCTTGCATGGGATTGGCTGTGGAGAACGTCACTCTGCGATGCGGGAGCTGCGATCAAGAGGAAAGAGGGCCTTCAGTCACACAACAATCTAAATAAAACTTTAGGCCCCAAAACTAGGCTAATTGACCACTAAATTTGTAATATCACACTTCAGCAAACGGGCATTTTCAATATGTAATTTCCAGAGGGGTGGCTAATGAGGAAACGTTTTGTTCAAATTGAGGGGAAATGGTAAAGAGGGAATAACTTATTAGAGTATCTCTCGGCAGAGGGGAGAAAGCAATATAACTCTTCTTTGATATCACTGCTTAGGTAACCACATTGTTTTTCACAAGGCCAATGAGGGCAAACACTCATGCTGAAATACAGAGGCACAGAGCTCATAAAACAGTGGAAATCACAGAATCCTGCAAAAAAGCACCCATTCCCAATTCTGTGTGAGCTCACAGCTCGCTAACTGCAGGGAGGGATCGATAGTGCCAGGCTGCACACACACGTACAAACACACACAGACTGGCAAACAGAACCATTTTAGAGTAGGAATTAGGGCCATTAAGAGAGCAATTTCAGTTCATATAAAAAGCCCATTAACACAGCCATTTAAAACATATAGAGAGACCATTAACGCTACGTACTTCACCATCCCAAAGTCGTAAGGCTTTCTTTTTCCCCTCTAATTCAGCATGTTTATTTATAAGCTCATTCATCAATTATGTTCTTGACTTCTGCTTAAATTTAATGTCCAAATTGTTCAGAAATGCAGTGCGCACACAAATATTGCTAATCTGTACATTTGCGTAGCTAGTCATGCAACATATTGCTCATTTACATACATGCTAGAGTTTTAGAAGAAGAAAATGACAGCATACTCTCCAAACGGTATCTTAGATGTGCACTCCAATTACAGACATCTTTGTTAACCCTTTCGCACGTGAGTTTAAAATATTCAAGCTGAGCCCCCAGCGTGAGTTTTTTTTAGGCGACCGTTATTTTAAAATGTATCGCCTTATTAACCCTTTCGCACGTGAGTTTAAAATATTCTAGCTGAGCCCCCAGCGTGAGTTTTTTTTAGGCGACCGTTATTTTAAAATGTATCGCCTTATTGTTTCCATGGCGACGCGTCATGCTTGTCATGTGACACAACGCAGCCACAATAGATCTGTGTGACACATGGATCGCTTTTATTTCGTTTTTCCTGTTTTATTCAAAATATTCACAAACATGCTCACTATATTATGAAATATCTGATATTCCGATTCTGAAATATGTGCAATTAAATCTGTTTGGTAGTTTAAACACTTTTATATCGACCGTGTTAGTTGATCTATACCGGGTGATGGGCGCCGTCATGTTAGTTCGCGCTGAATCCGAGCTGTGGAATTTACAACACGCAAATTCATCCTCTCCTACCGAAACACGTTAAAGTAGGTCTCCGGTAAACCGGGAGAAGAGCAGAGTAAACTTTATAGTTATCCACACAATCTGTATATGATATCAATAAAAACATGTCGTCAGATTATATTTGTAAGGATCATTATTGCCATTTCCATAAACATCAGCGTGCATTTTACAAACTGTAAATGTATGGTTTTGCTAGTACTTATGTGTATTTAAATGTCTGAAACCTAAAATAAGTATTATATGGTTGAAAACAATGAATATTTGTGATAATATGACAAGCGCTCAGCGCGTCCGATCTGGCTCCGCGCCAGCCAAAGCGCGAAAGCGGATTTAAATTCAGCAGTTGATGACGTGACGCACTGAAAGTTCTAATCACACCGGTGTGATCGTACGCTTCAGGGACCAGCCAAGACTGATCACACTGGTGTGATCGTACGCGTCAAAGGGTTAATTATGAGAGGAATTTTTTGACGTGTTGCAAGAATGGTATACAGTGTGACTGTAGATTGTTAATGGCTGTCCTGCAACTTGCAGTACAATAGAATTCAACTGAGGTGTGATCGCAACTATGCATACATAAATGGTTGATGGAAATCAAACCCCATAATATTTTATATATTAAATAACCATGTATTAATGTCATAATATGTACTATATATACTAGATATATACATTTAGGGGTTCGATTTCCAGCAACATTAACTATATTGTGATATATACTGTTACCATGATATTAAATTACTTGTACCGTGATATAAGATCTTGGTCATTCTGCCCACCCTAAATCTATTTACTTACACACATCCCCTCATTGCTGATAGACTGCACACACACTTCCACTGAACATTTGTACTTTGTGCTCACTCTTTACTCTGTCACGTTCATGAGTTGTAGGCCTGTTCTTCGTGTGCTCCCTTGTGCCCTGGTATTTACGGTTAGTGAGGCACTGAAGTGCGTAGACGAACATTCTTACTGCACAGTAATTACATCGACTTCCTTAGCAAACTCAGACATGGACTCACAGGATGAGTCCCTCTGTTGTCAGAGTTGTGTGGAAGTGTTGTATGAAGAGAGAAAGAGATACAGGGGAGAACCATGGGGTGTTTTGTCTTGGGGCGGTAACTTTTTAATATATTTCCTTTTTTAATTTTCTTATTAATTTGTAGTCTTTGATGTGCAAGGGACCGCATGCACACCATTCTTCGGGTGGCGCACGTTTTAGTCATTGTTTTATCTATTGTAAAATGTGCTTATCATGCTTTGTAGAAAATGCAAATGGCACTGCTTGATCACTGTAAAGGGATGTAGTGATTACAAGGCCACATGTAGTATGCAAATTGTAGCGTTTGATCTACAGTAAGGGACTTTGAAAATAAAAATCCTCAAGTGCGGTTTTATTAGGGAAAGCGCGTTATTACAGTTATGATATTTTAATTGCTAATATCGTTGCCATGCCAGGTACCATCCTGGAATAATGGCATTCTCAGCAACTAGAATTGTACTTCAGACACATTGCTATTTAAACCTTAGAGAGGCATTTAGTTATTTAAATATGGATTCTTGCTTAAACTGCTCCTACAGGCATTGCTCGAGAGTCAGCACTTTTATCCCCCCTTAGTGCTGGAAGCTGCAGCTCTGCAGTTCTGCAGATGGGGTAGAGTCTCAGCACACGGTCCAGTCTCTCTCTCTCTCCCTCCAGAAGGATGGGGGGTTGTGTAATGGGGGTAGCAGTGAGGCAGGACCAAGATAAAGGAACAGGGCCTTGACTCTGGATGTAAGAGGGCCAGTCTCCATTCTAGCTGGCTTGAGTTCTGCACTGATGCCTGGAATAAAGTAATCCCTGATTAGAATCAAACTGCATGAATTTTCATGACTGTGAATTGGGTAACTGGAGTTGGGCACTTTGAAGGCAGAGGGTCTCGTTATAGAGTCTTGGATTGGAAGAAGAGTCGGAGAGAGAATCTTAAAGGGGTCATATGATGCGATTTCAATTTTTCCTTTCTCTTTGGAGTGTTACAAGCTCTTGGTGCATAAAGAAGATCTGTAAAGTTGCAAAGACTAAAGTCTCAAATCCAAAGAGATATTCTTTATAAAAGTTAAGAGTTAACCACGCCTTCCTAAAACAGCTCGTTCTAACATGCCCCCACATATCTACCTCACTATGTGGGAAGATTTGCATAACGCCGCCCAAATGTTCACGCAAAGAAAGAAGGCGTAACTTTTATTCTCACTGTAGTATTGTTGCCGCTGCCGCCATGCCGTGGAGACACTGTGTGCTTCGTTGTGAAAGCGAAACTACTTTGTTTGGTCTTCCAAAAGAGGACGATATCCGCTTCGTCATGCCTAGAGCTGATCTGTGCTGGTCACTGAGGGAATACATCAATTTAGTGCTGTGGATCACCGGATCGATTTTCACCGTGGACGAAGCCCGGGGTTGTCATATGTGGTTGCCGCTCCTTCGTCGAATCCGCCGGGCGCGCCGTTCACGACCCCGCCGCCTCTGCTCACTCTAGCTCGGCCTCAGCTCATGCTAAGCCGCGGCTTTCGCTCACGCTAGGCCGCAGTGTTTTTCGTTGTGAAAGTGAAACTACTTTATTTGGTCTTCCAAAAGAGGACACGACTACAAATCAGTGGTTAAGTTGTATTTACTACACTGTTCCAGAACAGTTTAACCCAAATCCAGATGTGTGCAGCACATTTTATGGAGGACTGTTTACTGATCCTGGGAGAGTTGACTACAATGCCGGCAGTTCTGACTCACAGTCTGTAAGTACGTTTTCATTTAAAGGATTTGCCACTGATGATTCAAACGCGAGTTTTGGGCAGTGTAGAGTAGCATTTGTTGTTTGTCATTTCTCCGATCACAAATGCAGACAGGGTTTTATGTTTACGCGGCGCGATGCAACGCAATGCGTAAAAAGACAGTATAAGTCATTATAATCAGTAATTATGTCCCCACTGGATGCAACAAATGCCTCATTTGTAATGGGTTTTAATGTTTTTGTCTCGTCGCTCCGGCCGGACACGGCATCACAGTCTGGTAAGGGGCGTAACATTTCCGACACACGCTTGAGGTATTCGACCAATCACAACGCACTGGATAGCTGGCCAATCACAGCACACCTTGCTTTTTCAGACCGATGAGCTTTGTAAAAATCGACGCATTTCAAAAAGGCGGGGCATAGAGGAGAAACAATAATGTACAGTATGTGGAAAATAATGTGTTTTTTAAACTTTAAACCGCATAAACACATTTCATTACACCAAATACACAAAATAATGTTCTTTTTAGCAGCATCATATGACCCCTTTAAGATTGTAGAGTGGACAGAGTCTTGGATTGGAGAGTGTCTTGTACTGGGCAGAGAATCTTGGACAGGTCAGGGAGTCTTGGATTGGAGAGAGAGAATTGGACCAGGCTGAGAGGCTTGCTGTGGAGAGACAGCCTAGAACTAGGCAGGGAGTCCTGGATCGGAAAGGGTCTCGGATAGGACAGAGAGATTTGGACCAGGCAGAAAGTCTTACTTTGGAGAGACTAAGCAGGGAGCATTGGATTGGAGAGGGATCTTGGACTGGAGACTGAGACTTAGATTGTAGAGGACTTGGACTGGAGAGGGTGAGTGCTAATCTGCTGTCTCCAGGACTG